CTGAGGTCCCTTCCAACCCCCACCATTCTGGGATTCTGTGAAATATTAAGGAAAACTACTTAAGAACTAGATTGTGAAGTGATATTTACTCATACAGCAGCATTACAACCCCTGAACTAAGTTTGATGCTCTGTCTGGAAGCTTTCTGGGGTGGTTAGAGGCTCAGACATGGAAATGTTTTCTCAGTCTTTTTCTCAGTCATACTGTACTTTTATTTTCCCAGAACTCAAAATGTCCTGGGAGAGAAGGGACGCCGCATCCGGGAGCTGACAGCTGTGGTTCAGAAGAGGTTTGGATTCCCTGAGGGAAGCGTTGAGGTAAAACTGTCTCGATTAAAACAGCAGTAAGTGGGATGTGCAGTGAGCTCTGTGCACTGTCTGGGTGGTGTCAGCTGAAAGGTGGCTTGACTTGAAGAGATATCGGGGTGTGTTTTACCTCTTGTCACAAAATGCTCTTGCACTGAAACACAAAACACTTCAGTGTTTATGGTATTTTTAGTGCTATTGCTGGTTTTTTTTCTGATTTCCCAAAAAGGATGATGTAGGTAAAACTATTTAAACTTACCTGTAAATATTTTAGAGAGAATGTTGTCCCAATATTGAGGTGAGAAGTTAGACTAACGTGGTACCACTACCCTCAGTGAATTCATAATGCTTTTGTCCTTAGGAAGAAACTGTTTTGGTGCAGAAGGATCTTTGATATATTTTTTGAGTCATGAAATAGACAATAAAGTGACATATTAGTAATTTCAGCCTTTTAATGTTTGAAATCTGGTGCTGTTACTAGTACTTTCCTCTAAAACAAATGAGGTGAGGGGTGGAAGATACAGTCTGGGGTGGTGCTCACAGTTATTCCTGCTCAGCCAGTGTTGCTGGATCACATTGCACAGTGAAGAATATTTTAAACATACTCAATGGCACAAACCCTCACAGAGTGCATCATGAGTTCTCAGCTCCAGGAAGGTCGTGTGCCTGATTTTGAATGTCTTCTTCTGAGGTATCAGACTTTGGCCTCTTGTAGATATTAGATTAAATCATAGAATCCCAGAATGGTTTGGGTTGGAAGGGACCTTAAAGCTCATCCAGTTCCAACCCCCCTGCCAGCAGCAGGGACACCTTCCACTAGACCATGTTGCTCAAAGCCTCATCCAGCCTGGCCACAAACACTTCCAGGGAGGAACAGCCACAGCTTCCTTGGGCAACCTAAGGTTGATTTTAAGATTCAAGATTTTTTAGGTTTGATTTTTAAGATTCATGCAGATTATGTAACTTACATGTTGTAAAAACTGCACCTTGAGCGAAGTTCTTGTCTGGCTGCCTCTCTCCAGTGTTACCTGATATTCTGGGAGTGTTTGGAAGGAGCAGTTCTTTGCACTGTGGATGTTTTAATAGTCTCCTGACTTCCAGTGCAGTGCCTTCAGTGTGTCTCAGCTCTGCCAGGCGTAGGAGACGGGCACCAAAGGAGTGTAGTGCCTGAGGACAAATCTTCTGCACGTCTATGTGGAAGGAATAACTGAACTGGGTGTAGAGGATGGGGCATGGAGTAGTATGAAGCTCCTGTGTTCTGTTAAAATTAAAAATATCTTGAAATACGACCCTGTTTCTGAGTTTTACTTTGTTTCTTTTGAAGCTCTACGCCGAGAAGGTGGCCACGAGGGGTCTGTGCGCGATCGCTCAGGCAGAGTCCCTGCGGTACAAGCTTCTGGGAGGTTTAGCAGTGCGGAGGTGAGTCATAGAATCATGGAATGGTTTGGGTTGGAAGGGACCTTAAAGCTCATCCAGTTCCAACCCCCCTGCCAGCAGCAGGGACACCTTCCACTAGACCAGGTTGCTCAAAGCCTCATCCAACCTGGCCACAAACACTGCCAGGGAGGGGGCATCTACAACTTCCTTGGGCAACCAATGACTGGTGACATTTCTTTATGAATAAATGGGTGGAGGAGTGAAACACAATTTCAAGCCTTCTGGCTAAATTGTAGTTTGAATGACAGTGGCCTTGCTTCTCAGATCCCTTTGGTGATGATAAGATGACGAGTCAGAAGCAGGAGGCTCTTGTTGTGGTACCTCTGCAGCGTCATGTTCTATGATGCTGCGTGTGGATCTTCAGGAACATCCTGTCATCCTTGAATGATTTAGAGGCATTTGTCTGAGAAGGGATGGGGAGCTGCACTCCTGATGTGGATGTGTTGGCCACCTTCAACTGTGGAGCTGCTTTTGTGTTACAAAGAATGTGTGCTTATAGAATCATGGAATGGTTTGGGTTGGAAAGGACCTTAAAGCTCATCCAGTTCCAACCCCCCTGCCAGCAGCAGGGACACCTTCCACTAGACCAGGTTGCTCAAAGTTTCATCCAACCTGGCCTTCAGCACTTCCAGGGAGGAGCAGCCACAACTTCCTTGGGCAACCTGTTCAAGTGTCTGACCACCCTCACAGTGAAGAACTTCTTCCTAGTATCTCATCTAAACCTCCCCTCTTTCAGCTTAAACCCATTTCCCCTTGTTCTGTCATTAACTGCCCTTGACAGAGCTTGTCACCATTCCCACAGTCTTACAAGGACCATAAATCACACGTGTTTTCTTAGGCTGGGTTTGCCAGTGCTAAAACTGAAGATTTTCGCTTCTTTGATAGCATTGACAGAGCTTTGGTCGCACAGTTGTGTGTTTGGGAGGCTTCTTGACAAAAGTTGAAGTGTGATTGTACTTGAGATGGATGTAAAATGCCTCCATGGAGCCGTGGGGATTTGGCAGAGTGGGATTAACACTGAGGCTGTTACTGCTCTCTCCCTGCAGAGCCTGCTATGGTGTCCTCCGCTTCATCATGGAGAGCGGTGCCAAAGGTTGTGAGGTGGTTGTGTCTGGCAAACTCAGAGGTCAGCGTGCCAAGTCCATGAAATTTGTGGATGGTTTGATGATCCACAGTGGAGACCCAGTGAATTACTACGTTGACACAGCCGTGCGTCACGTCCTTCTCCGGCAGGGTGAGTGCCTGGGATGCAGATCCCTCTGGAGCTCTGTTGGTTTGTTCTATCAGTGCTTCGAGACAGAAAATAGAACCATAGAATCACAGAATGGTGGGGGTTGGAAGGGACCTCAGGAGATCATCCAGTCCAACC